TAGTCTTTTTTTAAAAAAATATTTTATCAAGCTCAGAGAGGAAGGGAGAGGGACAGAAGCATCAATGATGAGAGAGAACCATCGATTGGTTGCCTCCTGCATGCCCCCTACTGGGGATCAAGCCCGCAACCTAGGCATGTGCCCTTGATCGGAATCGAACCCGGACCCTTCATTCTGCAGGCCAACGCTCCATTCACTGAGCCAAACCGGCTAGGGCAGAATGTTCTAGTCTTTAATGTGAAGCTCCTGAAAGGAGAAAACAACAAATGAAGGACAATTAAGAAGAGGGAGTGTCCTTTTAAATCTTCTGGAAGTCACGGCAGATGGAGAGGGAGGGCTTGCAAAAATGGGAGGAGGTGCAACAACATTTGCCCACTTCTTTGTCTGCACCTCTGTGATTAGAAGCAGCAATCAGAAATCAGAGTGCAGATCCCCAATATTGGAGGACAGGGTCATTTTTACCTACCTTAGCTCCCACAAGCTGTGTGCAAGCTGTTCCAGGAAGAAGTACACAGCTGCCTGCCTTGTGTCTGGTGGTGGTGTATGGGTAGCTCCTACTGTGCTAAAAGCTATACTTGACAGATATTAACCATCTAGGCCTTTCCCTGAAAGTTGCAAGCCTTCAACAGACCCCAGAGTTTCCAACAGTGTAGTTGCCTAGGTGGAGAACAGATTCCTGGTGCTTCTTGCTCCTCCATCTTCCCCAAATCATGTGTGTGTGTGTATGTGTGTGTGTGTGTGTGTGTTTACACAGTTTGGAATTTATTTTGCACTACAGTATGAAAAAAGTAGCTAAGTCAAGGGTGAGCAAACTTTTTCCTAAAGGGCCAGATGGTGACTCTTTTAAGTTTGTGGGTCATTAGACCTGTGGGCCATATGTTTCTGTACTGAGTTGCAGTTTCTCAGCTCTGCCATTGTAGCACAAAAGCAGCCATAGACAATCAATCAATCAATCAATAATAAAGCAAGCAAGCAAGCAAGCAGTGACACTATCTCAAGAAGCTTTATTTACAGTAACAGACAGTGGACTGGATTTGATGCATAGGCTGTATGGAGTTTATCGACCTCTGCACTGAGTTCTTCATCCCTGTCAAAAATTGAAGAGTCTGAAATTTTACTGTACTTGAAAGCTAACGAGTTAGCCTGCCATAGTTTCATGGATAGTGGCAGAGGATAGGACAGTTTGTTACTCATAATAATAGCAGTAGCCAGAATATCATCATTTTCTCTGGTTCTTGAGCCCTAGTTCTAATAAAGCAGCACTGTGGGGACCAGATAACATCTGTACATACGTTATAGGAGTGGACCCCCACACTTAGGGAATATGAATCTTTTATAATTAGGAATAATTCGGCTAGGCCTTTCCCTTTGAGAGACACGTCTTTATTATATTGGACAGTAAGCATAGCTATCATTTTGCTGCAGGAGGAGACACTATCTTCCAAGGCTATTCACTATACAAACCCTTTTGAAGAGTCTAGAATAAAGACAGTCAGTGCCTCTTCTCTCAAGACACTCAAGAGAGCCCATCGAGCATTGTATGCCTCCCTTCTTCTCCCTGTACCTCTGTTTCCAATTGATGTGCATAGAGCCTGCCTAGTGGTGTCTTGCCTTCATTCATTGTGGCTCTGCTGGGCTGCAGTTGTATTTTCTCAAGCTCTTATTTACCTCGAGGGTAAGAATTCATGGATTATCAAATCTGAGGCTATATTTTCCCTTCTCGATTCATAACATGAATTCTAAGCATGTGCTGCTCTCCAGTCTTCTCCTTTTCCACCTTGATCCTCCATTAATTTTCAGATGTGGGAGCACTTTCTTTGAAAATGTAATGTCTGAGGACTTCTGGTTTGGACAAGATGGCATAAACCAGGGGTCCTCAAACTATGGCCCGCCGAAAACATTCGGCCCGCCGGGTGTTTTTGCCGCTGCTTTGTGCATAGGAATTTGTTCATAGTTTTTTTTTTAAACTATAGTCCGGCCCTCCAATGGTCTGAGGGACAGTGAACTGGCCCCCTGTTTAAAAAGTTTGAGGACCCCTGGAAACTCTTTTCTCCCTGCACCTTCCTAAGACCCACAATTCTAAACCATGAAAAACACAAAAGGGAACCAAACAAGAATTCTAAAAGGCAGTAAGAGGACAACAGAGCAGCAGGATGTCTTATATCTCCCATCTAAAGAAGAAGGCAACTTTGACCCCAAGTTTCCTGATCCTCGATCTTGCAACAGATGGCCACTAGGGAGGCTCATTCTTCCCTATATAGAAGGGGAATCTCTGTTACAAGATCAGGGGAGAGCAGTACCACTGGGAAAGGGGTTCGATTGGGAGCCCTGTTAACAATAAGCAGTTGGACAAGTACTCTCCTTTCCTGCTAGACATGCAGTCTCCCTCTCCTGCCAAAAGATATCAGGGTAGCCAAGTGAAAATGAAATGATAGAGATCCCTCCCCACCACCCTATCCCTGTAACAAGTGACTTGGCCGGAGAAATAATCTGCTTTCCTGGGCCTGAGGCTTCCTTCCTTCACTGAGGGATACCCTGGCGACTGGAGGCTTTGTCTTATTCATCATGTGCACAGCATGCTTGGGTATATTAACTACTCAGTAAATAATGAAAATATGCACGTCTTCAACTGTTTCTCCATTGGCATGATAGTGGAAATTACTCTGTGTTTGGCATTTGGTGGACTTCTAGTTTTCAATGCTATTTATAAGATTTGAATGTTTTCTTTGCCTTCTTGAATATTTTATTAGAAATTTTGAAGAGTTTGTAAACACCATTATCCTGAACAATATTTTTCTTCCTTCACTCCTTTTTTTGCTCTTAATGCAAGTACATTTGACCCTTGAACAACACGGAGGATGTTCCCTGACCCTGACAGTCAAAAACCTGCGTGTAACTTTTGACTCCCTCAAAACTTAAACTACTAATAGCCTGTTGTTTACTGGAAGCCTTACCAATAACACAAATAGTCGACTAACACATATATTGTATGTTATATGTATTATGTACTGTATTCTCACCATAAAATAAGCTAGAGAAAATCAAAAGTTATTAATAAAATTATAAGGAAGAGAAAGCACCTATGCAATATTTATTGAAAAAAAATTTCTCATCTAAGTGAACCTGCACATTTCAAACCTATTTTGTTCAAGGGTCAACTGTACTGCAATGGAGGGGGAAGTCCTTTTATCAGTCCTTTCTAATCAACTGACATACTAGTAGTAATCAAGCTGGTAGATTTTATGTATAATTTTCTTCATTGTGGACAGCATTATAATATTAGTACACTGACGTGTGATGTGTAATGTGTATACACATACATATGTATAAAGGCTACCCAACTGTGTCTCCTTGTTTGTTGTTGCTGTTGTTAATACCATCATACTTCATTTACGTAGGCTTAAACTCTCATTTATCTTAGATGACTTTCTCTGTTTTGCTCCTCTGATCGGGAAGGCCAGTGGTTGTACCTCTTTAGTACCCTATTCCTCTCCTCCATTGATATTATGGGCTGTCATTATGACTTCTCTTGTGTAAACTCCTCACAAGTTTCCCTTTTACTGAAATCATGCCAATGTTACTCAGAGCTTTTGGACAAATCTTTCTTATGATACCTTTTAAAGCTTGATACCTTGTGACTCCAACCCTAATTAATCTGCAGTATTTCTTCAAATTACCCTTTCTTACTGTTGTGGTTTTACCTCTCACGTATTAAACAGTGTTGTTTTTTAAAATAACCTACTTATTATACATGTGGCTTGTCTCCTCAACTGCCCCAATATGTTCAAATTCTACTGTTCAGTTGACATGGAATATGCTCCAGGATGGATTCCCTTACCCACCCTCCTTTATTCAAAGCAGAGATACTCTTTCATATGACCGGCTTCTGCATTTTCTGAGGACTGTGTTATCTATCCCTTTGCATTAAGTATTTTTGAACTGATATTATTTGAGACAGTTGGACGGATTTGAAAAATAAAAGCATAAATGGTCCTTCCTATAGAGCTTTCAGAGTTAATGAATCTTAGGTTTATTTCATTGGGTTTTAGAAAATGCAAATCATTGTCAGAACACTATAATGCTATAGTGTTAATTTTCTGCATCGTGCAGATGCTATTAGGGCTATTTATGGTTATAAAACACATGGTTTCTTTAAAATGATGTCTTGGTGTTTCTGTGCTTTGAGGATTTTATTTAAATTATCATTTGTTTTTTATTCACAGTCAATGCTCCGAGGGAGAGGAGGTTGCTATAAACATACATTCTATGGTATTGAAAGCCATCGTTGCATGGAAACCACCCCGAGCTTAGCATGTGCAAATAAATGTGTCTTCTGTTGGCGGTAAGTTAAAATTAATGGCCATGGTGGCCAAATATGTAATGATCTGTAATAATCAATTTCTGCCCAACACGACACTCAAATGTACCTAAAGCTTTGATGTTCCTGTAATCAATCCCTTTTCCATTCCTAATATTATATATTAGTGCATATGTTTGTTTTTCTTGACAAATTTTATCAGGGGCTTATCAAGTTTTTTAGTTTTTTTGAATAACTTGATTTTAGCTTTGTATATTCTCTTCATTATACTTTTATTTTTTTGTTCAGTAATCTACTAACTATTGTTTTTGTTTCTCTGTTCTTTTTCTAACTTAAATTGGACCATTAACTCATTAATATTCAATCCTCTATAAGTCTTTAATTGTAAATTTCCCTCTAAGTATTCTTTAGCTACATTCCATGGATTTTGATTAGTTAATTATTCAATTATGAATATTTTTTTGATTTACATTATGACTTCTTTCTAACTCATGGATCAAAGAAATATTTATTTTAAAAATTGCACATAAGTTAGATTTTGGGGTTATATTTTTTGTTATTAACATTCAACCAAATAGTATTATTGTTACATGGTTTATACATGATTTCTAATACAAATTATTTAAAATTTATTGAGGAATGCTGTCTGCTTAGTATATAGTCAGGTTTTAAAAATCTATTATATGTCCTGAAAAGAGTATATTTTTAATGGTCAGATATTAAAACAGCCATAAAATCTATTCTTTGTTACTGTTCGTTTTATCATTATTTTGTAGTCCTTATTTAGTAGTCCTCTTTACCCATAGTAATGTTTGTTGCCTTAAAATGTGTGTTTTCTGATTGTAATATAACTCTATTTCTTTTTTGTTACTAACAATTGCCAGATCTTTTTCCTTCCTTTATGCAACGTCATCCTTTATGTGTCTTTATATTTTAGTCGTGTTTCTGATAAACAAGTGTTTGGCTGGATCAGTTTTAAAAAATCAACTTTTTGAAGTTTTATTTACATACAACCAAATACCCCTATTTAAAATATACATCTCAATGAATGTTGGTATATGTGTATAACTGTGTGACTGTGACTACAATCAAGACATAGAACATTTTCATTATCCTGGAGCTCCCTTGTGCCCCACTTCTAGTCATTTTCTGATTTGCTTTTTGACGATATATATTACTGTGCTTTTTCTATAGACTATATAAAAATGAATCACCCAGTATGCATTTGTATGTCTATTATTTTTCCTCACTAAAATATTTTTGAGATTCATCCATGTTTTTAGGCTTATCAATAGTTTGTTTCTTTCTGTTGTATGGTTTTACCACCATTTGTTTATCCATGCACCTCTAGTTGAGTACTATTTGGTTTTTTTTTGTTTTTTTTTTTTTTATATATTTTATTGATTTTTTACAGAGAGGAAAGGAGAGAGATAGAGAGTTAGAAACATCGATGAGAGAGAAACATCGATCAGCTGCCTCCTGCACATCCCCACTGGGGATGTGCCCGCAACCCACATACATGCCCTTGACCGGAATCGAACCTGGGACCCTTCAGTCCGCAGGCCGACGCTCTATCCACTGAGCCAAACCGGTTCGGCAGTTGAGTACTATTTGAGTTGTTTCAAGGTTTTGACTAAATTATGAATAAAGCTTCTGTGGACATTAGTTTTTTGTAGACAAATATTTTCATTTCTCTTGGTTAAACACCTGTGCATAGAATTGCTGGATTTTCAAAAGTCAATTTGGACAATCTGTTTTTTAACTGGTGGTGTTTAGTTGGTCTTATAGTGATTTTTTTTTTCTTTATTGATTAAGGTATTACATATGTGTCCTTATCCCCCCATTTCCCCCAAAACCCCCCCACTCATGCCCTCACCCCCCTGGGTCTATGTCCATTGGTTAGGCTATATGCATGCATATAAGTCCTTTGATTGATCTCTCCCCCTTACCCCCACCCTCCCCTACCTTCCCTCTGAGTTTTGACAGTCTGATCGATGCTTCTCTGTCTCTGGATCTGTTTTGTTTATCAGTTTATGTTGTTCATTATATTCCACAAATGAGTGAGATCATGTGATATTTATCTTTCTCTGACTGGCTTATTTTGCTTAGCATAATGCTCTCCAGTTCCAACCATGCTGTTGCAAATGGTAAGAATTCCTTTTTTACTGCAGCATAGTATTCCATTGTGTAGATGTACCACAGTTTCTAAACCCACTCAATTGCTTTATAGTGATTGTTGATATTGATAAATATTGATAAATTATTGATAAACATTTATTCTTAATCTCTGATTTGTGCCTTCTGTTTATTTGCTTTTCTACATTTTTGTCTTCATATTTTTTCTATCTAAGACTACTGTTATGCTAAGGTATCAGTTTATGTGTTTCTTGTGGGAGGCTTTTCTAGTTATCTTGTTGGAAATATAAGCCCTGAGTGTTATTCTTAAGCTGGCTATAGACCATGATATGTAGAATTGAATTTTATAAGTAAGTTGGGAATATTTAAGTGAAAGAAAAATTCCTAAATTATTCAAATCCTTTTTGTGTGTGTTTTCTGCTAATCCAGTTTTTTTCCTTCACTGACAACTATCTATAATTCTAGCTTCCAGACAAATAATTTTTAGTGCTTTGAAGTATTTGCTTTCTGAATTTGAGTGTTTCCTTTCATTATTCTTTAACATGGTTGAAATAATTATCCTATATAATAAAAGGCTAATATGCAAATTGACTGAATGGTAGAACGACTGGTCGCTATGATGCACACTGACCACCAGGGGGCAGGTGTTCAATGCAGGAGCTGCCCCCTGGTGGTCATTGTGTTTCCACAGGGGGAGCGCTGCTCAGACAGAAGCCCTGAGCCGGCCTCACAGCCTCACAGCTGGCAAGCACAGCGGTGGTGGTGGGAGCCTCTCCTGCCTCTGCAGCAGCGCTAAGGATGTCTGACTGATGGCTTAGTCAGTCGGACACCCCCCCACCCCCCAACCACCCTGAGGGCTCTCAGACTGTGAGAGGGCACAGGCCGGGCTGAGGGACAACACCCCCCCCCACCCACCCCCACCCCCCTCCAGTGCATGAATTTTGTGCACCGGGCCTCTAGTATGTATGTATGTATGTGTGTGTGTGTGTATATATATATATATATATAAGATGAAGACAATAATGTCTTATATAATAAAACCCTAATATGCAAATTGATCGAATGGTGGAACGACCAGTTGCTATGATGCGCACTGACCACCAGGGGCAGACACTCAATGCAGGAGCTGCCCCCTGGTGGTCAGTGTGCTCCCACAGGGGGAGTGCCTCTCAGCCAGAAGCTGGGCTCAGCTGGCGAGTGCAGCGGCAGGTCTGGGAGCCTCTCCCACCTCCACTGCAGGTGGGTGGTAAGGAGTGAGGGGTCCCAGACTGTGAGAGCCCCGAACTGCAGACTGCGAGAGGAATCCCGGACTGCAAGAGGGTGCAGGCCAGGCTGAGGGACCCCCCCAACCCCCTGCTTAGTGCACGAATCCGTGCACCAGACCTCTCATGTGTGTGTATGTGTGCGTGAGTCGTCATAGATATCTATGTATGAGTATTTATATATA